CCACTCCCGTACTCTTGCCTGGAGAATCCCTTGGACAGAGGAACTTGGAGGGAACTACAGTCCATGGGGTCGCAAGAGAGTTGAACACAACTTAGTGACTAAACAACAACAACATCTATGCTATAGCTCTGAACCAAACTAGTTGACCAGAGATTAACCAGAGAGCAGGAAAATCAAGACCAGATGTGCAAGTACAGCTCTATTGTAGTTCAGAGTGTAATTACTACAGGGTTGGGATATTTCCATTTTCATTGCTATTGTAGAGGAGGAAATACCTCCTGAAGCTTAGCATTTTAACATGATATTTATTAATATGGGGGAAGTGTCTAGCCTTAAGTTAGGGAAACAGAGACTTCTTTGGAGATTTTTTAAAAATCGAAGTATAGTTGATTTACACTGGCGTGTTAGTTTTAGGTGTATGGCGAAGTGATTCAGTTATTATTTATATATTTTCCAGATTCTTTTCCCATATAGGTTACTATAAAATATTAAGTAGAGTTCCTCGTGCTATACAGTAGGTCCTTATTGATTATTTATTTTATATATATAGGATTACTCCCAAACTTCTAATTTATCCCTTTCCCCAACATAAACTTTTTAGATGATTCTAAATCTAAACAGCCCATAGCTAAGACCAGGAGAAGAGACAGCAGATAATCTGAGAAGACATACAAGAAAAGGAAGGTTGGATGAGAATTCTTGGAGAGTTGGTAGGAAAAGTCCGGTCCACTGAGTTATTTTTGTGACGTCATAGCCTTGTTGGTTCTTGAGTGGAAAAGCTGATGCCCATGGTTCACTTCAACTTCTGGACCCCAGAAAACTATGCCAAATGAAGAAGATACATCTTTTTACCCCTGGAAACAGCATTACACATCTACTAAAATAGGAAATCTTTATACACATGACAAGACAGGTTTTCTGGTGAGGACACACCAATCATAAAGCTCAGAAAAGAATCTCTCTTTGTAACATCATGACTCACCTAGGATACTAAACTTCTGTAAAAGAGGGTAATTAAGAGGCGCTTGATATGCTGTTTGAATCTGTCCTTACTCAAAGAAAAAGATTGAGTGAGTTGAGGGCAAGGCACTCTTCCCTCATTCCTGCTCATAAAGACAACTAGAATTAGTGTGTTATTTGTGTGAAAAACGTAGGGGCCAGTTTACTGTTTCATATGAGAATGTGCAAAGTCAGATCTTGCATCAATAGAAGGGAATAAGAAGGTTATTAAAGGTATGGTTATTAAGCGACTAACATATGAGAAGCAACACACCCCATCTGCTTTAGTCCTTAAAACAATCTCTGTGAGGACAACATCATCCTTATCTTATAGGTGAGGATTTTAAAAAGTTATTTTACTGAATTATAGCTGACTTATAATGATGTGTTGATTTCTGCCAAACAGCAGAATGTTTCACTTATACATACATATACATTCTTTTTCATATTCTTTTCCATTATGGTTTTTCAGAGGATACGGAATATAGTTCCTTGTGCGGTACATACAGTAGGATCTTATTTACGGGTGAGGATTTGAGGTAGGAAAAGAACATACTTACAGTCACAAATAGTAAATAGCAGAGCGATAATTTAAACCTGGGTATGCATGCTTAGTTGCTCAGTCGTGTCCGACTCTCTGTGACCCATGGACTCCTCTTGCCCATGGGATTTCCTAGGCAAAGATACTGGAGTGGGTTGCCATTTCCTCCTCCCAGGGATCTTCCCAACCCAGGGGTCGAACCCATGGCTCTTGCATATCCTGTATTGGCAGGTAGATTCTTCACCAGTGGCACCACCCTATTTCTGCTTAATTCTAGAACTCATCCAAAAGATTTTGAAAAGAAAACCAAACCCTAGATTTTTACATAGGATTTTTAAATGACTTTCACAGGAAAAATAATGTTATCGATCGTAAGTTTTATTTGCCATCAGAAGCATGCTAAGTAATATGCAAAAAATTCAACCCTTTCTTTTGGACCATGTTTCCTGGCAGAAGGAAGGTTGCTCTGAAATAACTGTTAACACCTTACACAATAGTCTGTTCGTAGTTTATGTCAGGTGGCAACGGAGGGCGCTATACACTGTCTAGGTTTTCTCACATTTCCGTCCTGCCCTTGGCTGTTTATTGTCATCACCTACATTACCCATAGTGAAGTCAGATTCATCTTTCGGGTTTAGTGAAGCTTTGGCATTCGCTGAGTTTTGGGTTTCTCTGAATTTGTATTAACAAGATCTTTCCAATTCTATTGTACTTAGCTATGAGGTGACAGAAGTGTAGTCCTCAGAGGTTTCTACACAAAGCACAAAGGTTTGAATGAACATTGTTCTTATACATCCAACTTTTTTTCTCTGTTAGTGACAGACTTTATACCACCAATATGGACAGGAAGCAAAAGGACTGTTTATGGAACAATCATCCACATCATAGAAAGATAGGATTTTTAAGTTTTCAAAATCCATATACTTACCCCACGTGACTCATTTCTCAAACCCTGGTGTTAACCTGAAATATTTCCTAAGTGGTTCTTTACAAGGAGGCCTTTATTGAATGTGTCATCAAATAATCATAAATCATGTTTCAAAACTGTAGAGAAATCTGTGACTTTGTGCACATGCATGTGAGAATAGTGGACATATTTTAAACACCGTTTCTGGAGAGTATTTGTCTGATCATGAATACAGTAGTAGGGAGTTGGGAAAAAGAAAGATCTAAAAACTTGTCAGAGACTTTGTACTGAAACCTGAGACTGGAAATCAGAAGACGTTACCACTCAGCCATAAAAAAGAACAAAATAATGCCATTTGTAGCAACCTGGATGGACCTAGAGATTATCATACTGAGTGAAGTAAGTCAGACAGGGAAAGAAAAATATCATATTATATCATGTATATGTGGCATCTAAAAAAATTGTACAAATGGATTTATTTGTGAAAGAGAAACAGATTCATGGATATAGGAAGCAGCTTCCGATTGCCAAAGGGGAAAACTGTGGTGGGGATAAGTTAGGAGTTTGGGGTTAACACATACACAGTACTATGTATAAAATAAACAACAAGGACTGACTGCATGGCACAGGGACCTCGACTCAGCATTTTTAAATAACCTATATGGAAAAAGATCTAAAAAGAACATATACATATTTGTTGTTGTTGTTGTTGAGTTGCGAAGTCATGTCTGACTCTTTTGCAACCTACTGGCTACAGCCCTTGAGGCTCCTCTGTCCATGGGATTTCCCAGGTAAGAATACAGGAGTGGGTTGCCATTTCCTTCTCCAGGGGATCTTCCCATCTCAGGGATTGAACCCGAGTCTCATGCATTGTGGGCAGATTCTTTACCACTGAGCCACCTGGGAAGCCCTGTATAACTGAATTGCTTTGCTGTACCCCTGAAATTAACACAGCATTGTAAATCAACTATACTTCAAAAATAAATAAATTAATTAAAAAAATTAAAAACTGAAAGAAAAAGAAGTAGAGAAACTTGCCTGTGAGCACCCTTATCTGTGGCCGCCACCCCTTTCTTCCATGGTGGCTTCTTAGAGTAGTGTTACACTCCCCTGCCAAAGCCAGGACTGGCCAGAGTGAATGGAGTTCCCACGATGGGCATGGAGTACTCAGGATTTACTCCAGGGGTCAGGGAGGGACCTTGTCTGTTCTGGAGCATACAGTCTTGGATGATTGAATAAAACTAAAGTTCCATGAGCAGGGATTCTGTTAGAAATGGCTGTAGATGAGGCAACCGATTGTCTCCTCAAAGATGGGTGCCCTGCTAGAAAAGCAGATGGAGGAGTATATCCTAGTTGTTGCTTTCTGAGCCAAAGGGAAAATGCCGAGCTTGAGTTTACTTAAAGCGTTCTATTAAGTTTAGTCCTGTCAGTTTATATGCAGTTAACAACAATAAAGTTCTTTAGACACAGATCACAGCTAGCTTAGTGATGTCCTCTTTTACAACTACCTGAGGCATTTCTTTGCTCTGCTCTGTACTCTCTTTGCGTTGGGTGGAGGTGGCGGGTCAGGAGGAGGTGCGGACAGTATTGGGGGTGAAGGAGGTAGCAGAGGTATTAGATCATTGCTATTTCTTCCTGATCAGTGTCTTGGGAATGATCCAGGTCACTGTTTATTGTTTGTGCAAAATATGAAGCTAGAGACTGTTGCTACCACCTCCCCACCCATTAAATATATAGAAAATTGAGATCATTGTCTCTAGAACACCAAGTGTCCACCTGTTTATTCCATGGCACCCTATATCTCTGGACAACCTGAGTTATTTGAATGTGTGTAAGATGACTGCCCTTCTTGCTGAAGGTAGCACGGCACATGCAATTGTCAACTCAGAACATTCGTTGTTATTGTTATTCAGTCACTAAGTTGTGTCCAACTCTTTGTAACCCCATGGACTGTAGCATGCCAGGCTTCCCTGCTCTTCACTGAGTTTGCTCAAACTCAAGTCCATTGAGCTGGTGATGCTATCTAACCATCTCATCCTCTGCTGCCTCTTCTCCTTTTGCCTTCAGTCTTTCCCAGCAGTGGCCACAGGACTGGAAAAGGTCAGTTTTCATTCCAGTCCCAAAGAAGGGCAATGCCAAAGAATGTTCAAACTACTGTACAATTGCCCTCATTTTACACGCTAGTAAGGTTAGGCTCAAAATCCTCCAAGCTGGGCTTTAGCAGTACGTGAACTGAGAACCTCCAGATGCACAAGCTGGATTGAGAAAAGGCAGAGGAGCCTTTTGCCAACATGCGTTGGATCATAGAGAAAAGCAAGGAAATCCAGAAAAGCATCTACTTCTGCTTCATTAACTACACTAAAGTCTTTGACTCTGTGGATTGCAACAAACTGGAAAATTCTTTGAGAGGGAAGTGGAACTGCTCATGCAAGGTGGAAAAAGCTTACTTGCAACCTGCATTAAGGATCCATGCTGTCCTTGTGTTTAGGTGTAATAAAGAGATGATTTCCAGTACTTCTGGGTAACTGAAGTGTTTGTCTTGCCCATCCTCAGAGACTTGCAGATTAGCTCCTCCAGTACCACGACTTCTGAGAGTCAAGATCCTTCTTCTGGCGATCCTGCAGTCAGTGCCCTTCAACAACAGCTGTTACTGATGGTGGCTCGGAGGACCCAGTCAGAAACCCCACGGGTAAGTCCCAGCATCACCGTTTGTGAATGTTCCAGAAGCAGGGATCCTGAAACCTGTTTCCAGGTTGGTTTCCTTAACAGAATTAGTCCAGTCTTGTCCCGAATTTTATGTCAGAGGGTTGTGGTTACATCACTTCATGGTAGTCTACTGGATGAATGTGAAAAGAGACCATTTAGGTAACATGCCATTTAGATAATACCTTTTCATAGATGCTAATGGGGTTATTAGTCTTGATTGCTCTTCCAATGTATTAGAAATTGATTTACATTGATCTTTTGTTGCCGAGTTGCACAGATTCCACAAGACCTCACTTGATTGGAATGGCTTTTTCTCGCTTGGTTTGGAGAGTATCTAGATATTTATTAATTTATTATAGCCTTATGATTTAGGCATGCAGAAATTTTGAAAGAGAATCTTGGCTTGAAGAGAGACTTTATTCATGGAACAAATGACATGATCATCAAGCACTTAAAAGATGCCGCTTTTCATTATTTTACTGAGAGATTAACTTCCTGATGTTCATTCACTTATTACTTCACCTTTAATGAGACTCTGTAAGACACGGAGCAAAGAATTCAAAGAGAATGTGGGAGGAAAGATATACAACCTGTCATGAACTTAGAGCTACACATTCTATCAGGGCATTTTGGAGAATGGCTGTGGAGAAGGCTCCTTAGAAGAAAGGACACTTGGGCTAGACCTTGAAGGAAGGTAGATTTCAGTAAGTGCAGATTGAAAGAAGAGGGCTATAAATGGGATTTTGTTACGTTTGTGTAACGTTTCTTTACTGCTCTGCTTACCTTCTTCCTGACCATGTTTTGATTTCTTCTAGAGAGTCTCGCCTACAAAAAGAAATACAGTAAGTCCCATATGTACAAATGTGTTCTGTTCTGAGAGTATGTTTGTCAAGTCCAGTTTCTTCATCAGTGCAACAGTTAGCCTAGGTACCCAACTAACACAATTGGCTCTACGGTACTGTACTACAATAAGTTTATAATACTTTCCACACAAATAATACATAGAAAACAAATAAATACAAAAACAAGGGTAACATTTTTAACGTTACAGTGTAGTATTTGAAAAGTACAGTTATTGTTGTTCAATCACTCAGTTGTGTCCTACTCTTTGCAACCCCATGGACTGCAGCACTCCAGGCCTCCCTGTCCTTCTCTATCTCCCCAAGTTTGCTCAAAATTCATGTTCATTGAGTCGGTGATACCATCTAACCATCCTATCCTCTGTCATCCCCTTCCCCTCCTGCCGTCAATCTTTCCCAGCATCAGGGTCTTTTCCGATGAGTTGGCTCTTCGCATCAGGTGATCCAAGTAGTGGAGCTTCAGCTTCAGCATCAGTCCTTCCAATGAATATTCAGGATTGATTTCCTTTAGGATGGACTGGTTTGATCTCCTTGTAGTTCAAGGGACTCTCAAGAGTCTTGAGAATCAGCCAGCACCGCAGTTCAAAAGCATCAATTCTTTGGCACTCAGTCATCCTTATGGTCTAGCTTTCATGACTACTGGAAAATTTCCTGTACATGACTACAGGAAAAACCGTAGCTTTGACTATACGGACCTTTGTCAGCAAAGTGATGTCTCTGCTTTTTGATACACTGTCTAGGTTTGAAAAGTACCATAATGCAGCACAGTAGTTGGTGCTTCTTAGCACTACCAGCTACATCTCCACTGCTTTTACACTGGCTTCCAGACATCTGGGGCTTGAAATAGATACTATATTACTGTACTCCATACAGTTCAGTAAAGTACACAGAAGTACAACCTCCTGCAGAGGATGCACTTACATGACAATGTACACCAGACACATGAACTAACTTATGTGATTGGACATGTGAACATGCATTTACATCTTTGGAAGTTCACAACTTGAAGGTTAATATGTAAGGGACTTAGTATAATAGTTTTAGATTCAATTTCATGATTGCTTAACCAGATTTTTTCAGAAGCTTGATGGTAATTTACACACCCTTGTTCAGATGTGCAGAAAAAATGTTGTGCTATCTTCTAACTGACCGCATGTTGTTCTGGAGTCCTTATTTCTGCTGTGCTGTGTTTAGTCACTCAGTCATATGTGACTCTCTGTTACCCCACAGACTGTAGCCCGCCAGGCTCCTCTGTCCTTGGGGATTCTCCAGGCCAGAATACTAGAGTGGGTTGCCATGTCCTCCTCCAAGGGATACTCCCAACCCAGGAATCAAACCCAGGTCTCCTGCATTGCAGGCAGGTTCTTTACCATCTGAACCACCAGGGAGGCCCTTATTCCTGGTGACTGTATGCAAATTGGCAGGGGGAGCTGCCTAGGGAGGATGTGAAAAAGCCAGTGAAGCATAATCAGCTTTCTCAAGCTTGAAGGGCTTGCAGTGGGAGCAAGCATTCGATTAACTCCAAGAGTCAGTCTTCAGGACTATCTTCCTTTCTTTGTACTCAGTCTCCCCTCCCAGCCCACCCCTCCAGGGCATCTCGGTGCAGGAGGAAGCTTTCCAGCTCCTCTGGAAGCAAGTGGAGCTGAGAGGGCATCCCTGGTGGCTAAGCAGGGCTCAGATGCCTGGCACCTGCCTGGTCCCTGGGTGTGCTGGGTGGTCCCTGCTGAGGGGTGGCTGCTCCTGCCCAGTTAGGGTGCAGTGCTGGGGTCTTTGACCTTGCCATTAGGCCCTTGCTCTGAGGACCCTGTGTCCTGAGGTCTCCTCCTCTCTATCAGTGTCTTTGGATTCACTAGTCTTTCTTATATGTCCATGTGCTCCTGAGGGCTCAGACCCCAGCTGTATCCTCCACATTCCATTCCCAGCGCCACTTCAGCGACCAGTACTAGTTCCCACCACAAGCCTTAGTGCAGGAGGTGGGCCGTGGAATGTGGGTTTTCTCTGAGAAATTTGCCTTATCTTGGGATGCGTGCATTCTAAGTCGCTTCAGTCGCATCCGACTCTGCAGTGCTATGGGTTGTAGCCTGCCAGGCTTCTGTGACCATGGGATACTGAACCAAAAATACTGGAGTGGGTAGCCGTTTCCTCCTCCAGGGGATCTTCCTGACCCAGGGATGGAACCTGCGACTCATGTCTCCTGCGTTGATGGGTGGGTTCTTTACCACCAGGTACCAAAAGGCCACCTGGGAAGTGCTTTTTCTTGCGCTAGTCCTGGGAAAACTTCAGCTCGCTACCATTCTTTCCTGCCTCCAAAACATCAACACTGAACTTACAAGGAGGAGAAGGTTATATAAAATTATTCAGATAGTTTGGGAAGATGCAAATATTATTGATCCCATGTGTGGCAGAATTGTAGGGAAACTGGGAATTTCAGATTGTCAGAGATGCAAAGCACTGACTTAATATCTCAGAAGCTTCCCAGGTAGAGCAGAAACTCAGAGGTAAGTAAGTATTGCGTGGAGAAGCCAGAAGAGCTGTGCTGCTCCTTGTTTAAAATTGAAACTTCTGTCAGTGGCACGGTTATACAGATGAGTATATAAAAAAGCTGAATTCATATGTAGTGTTTCGTTGCTAACACTTGCCCAACTTCACTGATGAACTTTTAACTTTTTTAACTTTCTTGAATTGAAGTGAAATTTCCTCAGTTGTGTCTGACTCTTTGTGACCCCATGGACTCTATAGCCTGTCAGTCTCCTCTGTCCATGGAATTCTCCAGGTCAGAATACTGGAGTGCATAGCTGTTCCCTTCTCTTGGAGATCTTCCCAACCCGGGGATCGAACCCAGGTCTCCTGCACTGCAGGCAGATTCTTTACCATCTGAGCCCCCAGGGAAGCCCAAGAATACTGGAGTGGGTAGCCTATCCCTTTTCCAGTGGATCTTCCCAACCCAGGAATCGAACCGGGGTCTCCTGCTTTGCAGGTGGATTCTTTACCAGCTGAGCTACGTTTTTAAGTAAAATTGTAAAAAAAATTAAGTTTTACTCTATGTAGGCATGCATGTGTGCTAAGTTGCTTTATTTGTGTCCGACTCTTTATGAACGTATGGACTCTAGCCTGCCAGGCTCCTGTGTCCGTGGGATTCTTCAGGCAAGAACACTGAAGACTCAGGTTCAGTCCCTGGGTTGGGAAGATCCCCTGGAGATGGAAAGGGCAATCCACTCCAGTACTCTTTTCTGGGAAATCCCATGGATAGAGGAGCCTGGTGGGCTAAAGTCCATGGGGTCTGAAGAGTCCGACTTGACTTAGTGACTGAACAACAACTGTGAGGTTTTGAGAAATAAAAGTAATACATGGCATAGTTATACTTTTAAGAATCAGTGGCAGTTATTAATATCAAAATGCTTATTAGTTATGGGACTCTTGATGATACCATTATTTTGTCTCTTTTATTTTTATTTTAAAAAATTTTGTTGAAGTATAGTTGATTTACAATGTTGTATTAATTTCTGCCATACAGCAAAGTGATTTAGTTAAGTATACAGATATATTCTTATCATATTCTTTTCCATTATGGTTTATCATAGGATATTGAATGTAGATCCCTGTGTTATACAGTAGGACCTTGTTGTCCATCCAGTCTATATGTAATAGTTTGCATCTGTGGAGGAGTTATGGTAAGGTTTTGAGGATTAGAGAAAATATGTAACAGAGTTATACTTTAAAGAATCAGTGGCAATTATTTTTTTCCCTTTTTAAAATCAGTTTCTTTTTTTAAATTAAGAAAATTTAATTGAGGGATACTTGTTTTACAGAATTTTGTGGTTTTCTGTCATGCATTAATAAGAATCAGCCATAGGTACACCCGTGTCCCCTCCCTCCCAAACCTCCCTCCCATCTCCCTCCCTATCCCACCCTTCAGCCTGTCACAGAGCCCCTGTTTGAGTTTCCTGAGTCATATAGCAGATTCCCATTGGCTGTCAATTTTACATATGGTGATGTAAATTTCCATGTTACTCTGTCCATACACATCCCCTTCCCCATCCTCCCCTCCCTCCATGTTCTTAGGTCTGTTCTCTATATCTCCTTCTCTATTGCTGCCCTGAAAATAAATTCATCAGTGCCATCTCTTTAGATTCCATATATATGTGTCAGTATATGATATTTATATTTCTCTTTCTGACTTACTTCACTCCGTATAATAGGCTCTAGGTTCATCCACCTCATTAGAACTGATCAAATGCATCCCTTTTTATAGCTGAGTAATATTTCATCATATATATGTACCATAGCTTCTTTATCCATTCATCTGTCCAGGGACATCTAGGTTGCTTCCATGTTCTAGCTGTTGTAAATAGTGCTGCAGTGAACATTGGGGTACATGTGTCTTTTTCAGTTTTGATTTCCTCAGGGCATATGCCTAGGAGTGGGATTGCTGGGTTATATGGTGGTTTTATTCCTAACTTTTAAAGGAATCTCCATACCATCTTCCATAGCGGCTGTCTCAGTTTCTGTTACCACCAGCAATGCAAGAGTGCTCCCTTTTCTCCACACCCTCTCCAGCATTTATTGTTTGTAGACTTTTTAATGATGGCCATTCTGACCAGTGTGAGGTGGTATCTCATTGTAGTTTTGATTTGCATTTCTCTAATAATGAGTGATATTGAGCATCTTTTCATGTGTTTGTTAGTCATCTGTATGTCTTCTTTGGAGAAATGTCTCTTCAGGTCCCTTTCCCACTTTTTGACTGGGTTGTTTGCTTTTCTGGTACTGAATTGCATGAGCTGCTTGTGTATTTTGGAAATTAGTCTTTGTCAGTTGTTTCCTTTGCTACTACTTTCTCCCATTCTGAGGGTTGTCTTTTCATCTTGTTTGTAGTTTCATTTGCTGTGCAAAAGCATTTAAGTTTAATTGGGTCCCACTTGTTTATTTCTGTTTTTATTTTCATTACTCTAGGAGGTGGGTCATAGAAGATCTTGCTTTGATTTATGTCATCGAGTGTTCTGCTTATGTTTTCCTCTAAGAATTTTATAATTTCTGGTCTTACACTTAGATCTTTAATCCATTTTGAGTTTATGTTTATGTGTGGTATTAGGTAGTGTTCTGATTTCGTTATTTTGCACATAGCAGTCCAGTTTTACCAGCACCACTTATTGAAGAGGCTATCTTCAGGGGCCATTATTAATATCATCAAAATGCTTATTAGTTATGGAACTCTTGAAGAGACTATTATTTTTTTATTTTCATTTAAAATTTTTGTTTGAAGTACAGTTGATTTACAATGTTGTGTTAATTTCAGCTGTACAGCAAAGTGATTCAGTTATATGTATTCTTTTTCATATTCTTTTCCATTGTGGTTTATCACAGGATATTGAATATAGCTCCCTGTGCTATTTAGTAGGACCTTGTTGCCCATCCATTCTATATGTGATAGTTTGCATCTGTGGAAGAGTTATTATGAGGTTTTGAAGATTAATGACAATGTACTACACACTCCAGTGTTCTTGCCTGGAGAATCCCAGGGATGGGGTCGCACAGAGTCAGACACGACTGAAGTGACTTAGCAGTAGCAGCATGGCAAAATTATGCCTTTACTAATCAGTATTAATTATTAATGTCATCAAAATTCTTATTAGTTTTACGGAACTCTTGAATTTTTCAGGTATCTTGGGGGAAATACTGTTCTATTGTCTAAGACACCCTATTTGTGGTCCTTCATTGTGTTAGCCCCAGCAAACTAACACAGAAGTCAAATAATTTTTTCTTTGTATTAAATTCTGAGATGATTTTCATTTAAGCAGCAATAAATAGCACAATATGCCAGAATATTTAATAAGTTTTGCAAAAGATGTAGACATCGTCTTCATGTGATTTTTTTTGTAGTGACCTTCCCTAAAACTACTATCTAAAAGAGAGTATTTTCCTACTATTCAAAAGAATGTTCTCACCTTCACTGTTGCTTATCCTTGACGTGTTTATACATCATACTGAATTCCCACATCACAGAATGGTAAACCCTACTCAACTGGTACATGTGTTTTTATTTCTTACTTGCACTTTTAGTTCATGGAACATAAAGGGAAAGGATTTCTTTTGAGAGGAAATTTACTCTAAATTACAAATTCACTAGGCTTCCCTGGTGCTTAGACAGTAAAGAATTTGCCAGCAATGTGAGAGACCCGCGTTCGATCCCTGTGTCGGGAAGATCCCCTGGAGAAAGGAATGGGAGCGCACTCCAGTATTCTTGCCTAGAGAATTCCAGGGACAGAGGGGCTGGCAGGCTACAGTCCATGGGGTCGCGAAGAGTCGGACACGACTGAGCGAGTAACACTTTGACTTTCATAAGTTCATTGTCATTAATGAAGATACTGTTCTTGCTGACATGACAGCAGGAAGTTTCTTTGAGGTTCTCTTTTCTGTTGGGATCAAATTCCAGACACAAGCAGCACTTATAATCTCAACTTACCTCTAATAATACAGCCCAATCCATCCTGTATATTGTCAGCCTGCATATTACCTTCACAATGGATCAACTTTCCCTTGAAATGCTTTTTGTGTTAATATTTTATAGTCTGAATAACTCTATGCTCCATAGCTGAGTCAGGGACTTAGCATCTGGGAACAGAAAGAGGGGGAAGCCAGCCTCCTGAGAGGCTTCCACATGGTTTCCACTGAAGCAGATGTGTTGCCCTTATGCATGCCAGGAGTTTTGATATCAGCAACTTTCAGTGAATTAAGGAAAAATTTTGCAGCCTGCCCAAGTATGACCTTCTGCTTTGTAAGCCTGAGAGGAGGAATGAGACCACTGAGAGGTCACTTTACCTCCATGGCTGCTCTTCCATGCTGCCCCCTCTCTTCACTTATCTTGGCCCTTCTTCTCCGTCTTCTGTGTTTTATGTTGTTGTTCAGTCACCGAGTCGTGTCCGAATCTTTGTGACCACACGGACTGCAGCATGCCAGGCTTCTCTGTCTCTCACAACCTCCTGGAATTTGCCCAAGCTCATGTCCATTGAATCGGTGACACCATCCAACCATCTCATCTTCTGTTGCCCTCTTCCCCTTCTGCTTTCAGTGTTTCCCAGTGTCAGGGGCTTTTCCACTGAGTCAGCTGTTTGCATAAGGTGGCCAAAGTGTTGGAGCTTCAGCTTAGCCTACAGGAAATTAGAGCCTACTGAAAATCCTTTTAGGAAAAACATAGGACGAAAGCAAACAAATAAAAATGCAAGCTAGCATGATCCACCAATTCCACTTTTTTGGTGTATATTCAAAGAGCCTAATGCAGGGAATCCAACAGATACTTGCATGTGCATGTTCACAGTAGCGTTATTCATGATTGTGAATAGTGAATATTCCACCAAGAGGTGGATGCAACCCAAGTGTCTGTCGACAGATGAATGAATAAACAAAATGTGGTCTATCCATAAAATGAAATTTTATTCAGCCTTAAAAAAAAATTCTGACACCTGAAACATAATAGACCTTGAGATCATTATGATAAATGAAATAAGCTAGTCACAAAGGAACGATACTCTTTGATTCCACTTATAGGAGGTACCCAGAGGGGTCAAAACAGAAAGTAGAGGAGAATGGGGAGTTAGTGTTCAATGTGGACAGAGTTTTAGTTTTGCAAGATGAAAACATGAATAATAATATGAATATTATTGCTACTGAAACGCATACATACAAAATGGTTAAGGTATAAATTTTACATTATGTAATTTTTTAACCACAGTCACAAAAACAAAACAACCCCACAGATTAGAAATAGAAGGTCTGCAGGGGGCTGGGGCTCATTAAGTATTTGTTCAGCAAATGAATGGAGACTAATTTTTTCAAAATTGAATTCCTTTCCACTAGATTAGATCCAATCAGAGATGAATTTGGGGTGAAAATGTTTTAAATCTGTGATTAAATTCCTCCACCTGTTTCTGTTTTATTTTTTTTTTTTTCTGACAAATATTTCAGTTCTTATGTTGGGCTTTACTAAGAACCTACGTACTGTGGATGAAAATCTTTTTACTTAAAAAAAATTTAAATATTTATCTTGGTGTTACATTAAATAACATACCTTTCAAAAATTATGTCATTTAAGGCCTTTTGTTGAATTCTAATCTTTCATAATAATTACTTTCATGGCAGTTTCCTGGCCTAACAGTAGTATTTTGATTTGAGTAGCATAATTTTAATGTCACATTATAATGAAATTGAAATGTATTGGTAAAAAAGACCTTTTCTACAACAAGGATCTACTGTATAGCATAAAGAACTATATTCGGTATTTTGTGATAACCTATAAGGGAAAAGAATACAGAAAAGAATGAATATATGTATATGTATAACTGAATCACTTTGCTATACACCTGAAACTAACATAACATTGTAAATCAATAATACTTAGTACAAAAAATAAAGCTGGGAAAAAAGAGCTTTTCTGTTGATATTATCCTTTTGTTAGGGTGCCCATTTTTTTTATGGACTATGTTGGTTTTCATTTCAGAATTTGAACATCTGCTTTTGGTACTTTTAAATCAGGAGGCTTATTTTTATGACAATAACACGTCTATGTGAAACCCTCTCTCTGTTTTTTCTTTCGGTATCTAAAAGCATCTGAGTCAGGATCTGGAAGAGTCATCCTGTTCTTCCACACAAGGAAAGTTTAACCGAGAGCAGTTTTACAAGTTTATCATTTTCCCTGGCAAGTGGATTAAAGTCTGGTATGATCGCCTTACCTTGCTGGCATTACTTGATAGGTAAGCCTCCAGGCATGCACACGTGCTGGTGAAAGACACAAGTGGGGCTTGGCAGTGTGCGCTTGCTTGCTGATAATAAGCAGTTTGGCCTCAGGCTGAAATTCTCTGGGGCTTTTCCAAGGTGTCCACTTTGTGTGCTGCAAACCCACAGTCGAAGCAGTGAGATCCTGACAAATGAAGGAATTGTCACTGAGTGGTTAAAATGGGAACTAGGAGAATTTGGTAGCATGGTTTAGTTTTAAGGTCTGGGGACAGTATTATACTGTGGTCTGCTCATCTTTTGCCAGCTGTTGTAGGAGAGCCTGCAGCTGCAATGTTGAAAGCAGAGCTTGGGTGCGTGGATGTGGTGTGGGGAGGGGAGGAGGGACATGGTGGGGGTAAGGAGTGATGTCTTGCCCTTTCCTTTCAGGACTTGGGTTCTAAATATTCTATCCTATACTTAATTTGGATGCTAACTTTTCCTTTAAACCTTAATACTCTTTCTCACCACTGTTTCTCAAGATGCGATGCTGTGGGGTTGGAGCTGAGGGTACTGCGTGGGGAGGTGGAGGCGGGTGGCAGGCATCAGGTCAACTAAGGCATGATGGAGTTGGGGGCCAGATAGGGGACTTCCCATTTCTCTCCCCCTCCTCGGGATATGCAGAAGACTAGATTGTGATCTTTTTTTAAATCATGTTTTTATTAAAATTTAAAATGTTACTCTGCAAAAAGACAGTATAAAAGAATGAAAAGACAGGTCACTGACAGAAAAAATTATTTATGAGACTTCCCTGGGAGTCCATTGGTTAAGACTTCACCTTGTAATGCGGGGGGTGCAGGTTTGACCCCTGGTTGGGCAGCTAAGATCCTATACCTTGTGGCCAAAAACCAAAACATACAACAACAAAAAAACCATAGAAGCAATCTTGTAACAGATTCAATAAAGACTTAAAAAAATTAAAAACTTATGGAACACACATCAGATATATATCCAAGATATACAATGACTACTTAAAGTTCAATAATAAGAAAACAACCTAATTTTAAAATATGAGCTAAAGATCTGAAGAGAACCGTCATCTACGAAGACATACAAAAGGCAAACAAGTACGTTAAAATAGGCTTATCATTTTATATCACTAGAGATTTGCAAATTTAAGCAATGATGAGATACCACTATATACTATGACAATGTTTAATGAAGCAAAACTGACAGTAGCAAATGATAGAAAGAATGTGGAACAAAAAAACTCTTTTCTCATTGCTGGTGGAAAAACAGAATGGTACAGCTAATTTGAAAGACAGGATGGCAGTTTTCTAAAGTAAACAGTTTTACTTCACTCTGTATAATGGGCTCCAGTTTCATCCATCTCATTAGAACTGATTCAAATGAATTCTTTTTAATGGCTGAGTAATATTCCATGGTGTATATGTACCACAGCTTCCTTATCAATTCATCTGCTGATGGGCATCTAGGTTGCTTCCATGTCCTGGCTATGATAAACAGTGCTGCGATGAACATTGAGGTACACGTGTCTCTTTCAGATCTGGTTTCCTCGGTGTGTATGCCCAGGAGTGGGATTGCTGGGTCATATGGCAGTTCTATTTCCAGTTTTTTAAGGAATCTCCACACTGTTCTCCATAGCAGCTGTACTAGTTTGCATTCCTACCAACAGTGTAAGAGGGTTCCCTTTTCTCCACACCCTCTCCAGCATTTATTGCTTGTAGACTTTTGGATAGCAGCCATCCTGACTGGTGTGTAATGGTACCTCATTGTGGTTTTGATTTGCATTTCTCTGATAATGAGTGATGTTGAGCATCTTTTCAGAGTGAAGTAAGCCAGAAAGATAAAGACCAATACAGTATACTAACGCATATATATGGAATTTAGAAAGATGGTAACGATAACCCTATATGCAAAACAGAAAAAGAGACACAGATGTACAGAACAGACTTTTGGACTCTGTGGGAGAAGGCAAGGGTGGGATGTTTCAAGAGAACAGCATTGAAACATGTATATTATCTAGGGTGAAACAGATCACCAGCCCAGGCTGGATGCATGAGACAAGTGCTTGGGCCTGGTGCACTGGGAAGACCCAGAGGAATCGGGTGGAGAGGGAGGTGGGAGGGGGGATCGGGATGGGGAATACATGTAAATCCATGGCTGATTCATGTCAATGTATGACAAAAACCACTACAATATTGTAAAGAAATTAGCCTCCAACTAATAAAAATAAATGGAAAAAAATAAACAGTTTTTCCATATAATTCATCAGTTGTACTCCTAGGTAACTACTTAACTGATTTAAAAACATCCACACAAATACTGCATATGAATGTTTTTAATATCTGTATTTATAATCATTAAAAACTAAAAGGAACCAGGATGTACATCAGTATATGAGTAGATAAATTGTGGGGTCTTCCCTGGTGGCTTAGTGGTTAAGAATCCTCCTGCCAATACAGGAGACATGGTTGGGAAGATCCCCTTGAGAAGGAAAAAGCAACCCACTCTAGTATTCTTGTCTGGGAAATCCCATGAACAGAGGAGCCTGGTGGGCTACAGTCCATGGGGTTGCAAGAGAGTAGGATACGACTTGATGACTAAACAACAACCACAATGAGTTGTGATATTCACAGGTTGTGGGTTTGGAGATTCAGATGCTATTACTAATGTTGTCATCAGAAAACGCAGGAGTTTCACAGTTAAATAAATGCCAGTCAGTGGGGTAGTGGGAAGGCTGGATGCTTGCCTGGCTGTTGTGGGTCTCCCAGTGACTACTTGTTATCATAATGTCTTAAATGGTGTGATCACATACTGAAAAACTACAGTCATACAAAGTTACAGCAGTAAATTTCAGGACCCACAAGTCAGGGAAGGGAGTTGTAATGGTTTTTCTAACAACACTATGTTACCCCAGGGGCACACACTTAAACGAAGACTTCATACTTAACTAAAATAATTCAAGATAATACAGTCTGTTAGATGAGAAGTGTTTTTGAAATTCATTTAAAAAGAAATTATTGAGAGTTGAACTAGCATGCCTTAACCCTTCGTATTAAATACAAATATTTCTATGGACTTCTGGGTTTTTTTTATTTTAAAATCTACTCACTGATGAAAATTAGCCGAGAATCCAGTGAAGATATAAAAAAGGATGATGAGGAAGATGATTATCATCTTGTGAAGGTTATAGTGTAAAATCATTTTAATCACCTCTCTTGCAAGTTACATGCTAAGTCGTGTCTGACTCTTTGCAACTTCATGGACTGTAGCCCGCCAGGCTCCTCTGTCCATGGGATTCTCCAGGCAGGAATACTGGAGTGGGTTGCCATGCCCTCCTCCAGGGGATCTTCCTGACCCAGGGAAGGAACCTGTGCATTGGCAGGTGGGTTCTCAGTCTCCTGTTAAATGGGGGTAATCCATTGGGTTGGCCAAAAAGTCCATAAGATGTTATGGAAAAACCCCAACAAACCATATCATGGGGAGGATGTGAGGATCAAACCAAATTAATGATAGAAGAGTCCTTTAAATATTAGTTGTTGGGAAAGTCCCCTGGAGAAGGAAATGGCAACCCACTCCAGTATTCTTACCTGGAGAATCCCATGGACGGAGGAGCCTGGCGGGCTACAGTCCGTGGGGTCGCAAAGAGTCGGACACAACTGAGCGCTCACACATGTTCTTATTGTCACTTGGAATGTGGCCCAGAACCCAGAAAGAAGAAAATAATTTAAAATGAAGTAAATGATTGTAGCCAAAGTGTGTGTGCTGTGTGTGTGCTAAGTCGCTTCAGCCATGTCCCACTCTCTGTGACCCTGTGGACTGTCGCCCACCAGGTTCCTTTCCAGCCAAAGTAGATGTTGTCAGTGCAGACCCTGAAACTTAGCCCCTTAGAAAGGAGAGCTCACCCTTTCTTCAGAGCCCGTCTGACCCTACTTTCAGTCGTCCACCTGCAAGCTTGGTGAGCTGGTTTTCTAGTTGGCAGTCAATGAAGAGGGAAGAGAGGGACACCTTGACTCCCAGCTGACAGGGAGGAAGGAGGAAGGAAAACCCAGAACACTGGCCTAGAAAAACCAAGCAGCGTGGGACTGTGGCGCAGCACACAGCACACAGAACCGCCTGGGAGCTTGGTGAAGACACAGACGTGCAGTGTGGGAAGTCACCCCCCACGTGGCCTGGGCAGCAGCACACCTCCTTAGCACACCTTGTTGGTTCAGTGATGATCTGAAAGGGCTGTTTAAGAAAACAGGGATTCACACAATAAATGTTATGCTTTTGATGGCCAGAGCTGTGTTTTTATTTGAAAATATATACATAAATTACCTTGGATATTCATTGGGAGTATTTAAAGTCACATGGATGAGAGACCTTGAATTTGCCAAATGAAAGCTTGGAAAGAAAACACATACATAATTGAAAACAAACTTGTAAGTGTTGGCAGAAACTGGAAGAATTTGGTGAATAACAGGCAATGAAATCAGACTAATCGCTGCCCTGAGCTCCCCCAGGCCAAAGACTTCTGTTTGATGTTTTTTAACTTTTCTCTGGGATTCAGGCTCATCTTCCTTGAATATGTTTCCTCATCCTCTGGTAGCATCCTGGGTCCCTGTGATCAGAGCCTCTTCTCTTTGCCTTCAGTTTGCCGTCCAGTCTGCTTAGATATTTTCAGACTTGTCTCTTTTCTTTTATCATTTTCTCTTCTGCTATTACCTCATCTTGCAAAACACCTAGGTTTGCTTTGTCCTTAACCAGTTTATCAGGTTAGCATCTAAAACAAAAAGCTGTCCATCTAAGCATCATTTCATTCATTTATTTGTTCATTTAACACTTAAAAAAAATTCAAAACACCAACTCCACTCTAGGCTCTATAACGAGCCCTGGGTATAGAGCAACGAATGAAACAGACGTACAGTCCCTGTGCTCAGGAGGCCTGACTCCACGGGGGAAGTGGGCTAAGACAGCAAACAGTCCTAGTGCCATGGAAGACACCCCTGAAGGCCTGAGATAGAGAAACTTGGGG